GTACTTGAACACTAATAATAATTTTTTAAAAAAACAAGGTGTTATAAATAATATAAAGTAATAATAATAATATATAAATAAATATATATATATATATATATATGTACGTATATATTATATTATAGAATTATATAATAAATACATACATTCTTTGAATCCCATCAACACCTTCAGGAATTTCATTTTCAGCAACCTTATGGACAAAGCCATAATTATCAACGGCAATAACCTTTTCTTTCTTAGGACTATTAGATCTTTTCTTAGGTTCACCGTTTTTTAAAGATTTAACATCATATTCATCTTCATCTGAACTAAGATCTTCACTGTCATTAGTACCACTATCATTGCCATTTTCATACATGAAAGGTGCCATTGGACGCTTTGTGAAGTCAACTGATGAGTTATTGCTGGCATAAAGACTATCATCATCATCATCAAAATCATTTGTGAGAAAATTTTTTTTTGAATTAAATCGTTTATGACGACTTTCTAATTCACCATTATCGACTAAAATTTGGGGTACAACTTTCGGAGAAGATAATGGAGGAGTAGGAGAAGAGAATTGCCTATAAGAAGGACTAGGAGGACCAATACTTGGCGAAGATAAAGGAGAATTAGAAGTAGGAAATTGTCTAGCAGAAGGATTGGCTTTTGGAGAAGATAAAGGACTAGAAGGAACATTTCTTGGAGAAGATAATGGAGAAGTATATTGTCTGGCAGAATGATTAGAATTAGAAGGAACCATTCTTGGAGAAGACGGAGAAGATGGTGGGGAATTGGGAGAAGAAAATTGCCTATAAGAAGGGTTAGAAGGAACAGTTTTTGGAGAAGATAGTGGAGGAGTGGGAGAAGAAAATTGCCTAGAAGAAGGATTATGAGGAATAATTTTTGGAGGAGAATTATAAGAAGATTGCATATAAGGATTAGAAGGAGAAACATTTGAAGATTGTGGAGGAGCGGGGGTGAAAATTTGCCTAGGGGAGGAATTAGAAGGAGAAACATTTGAAGATAGTGGAGGAGTGGGGGTAAAAATTTGCCTAGAGGAGGGATTAGAAGGAGAAACATTTGGAGAAGATATTGGAGGAGTTGGGGTAAAAATTTGCCTAGAGGAGGGATTAGAAGGAGAAACATTTGGAGAAGATATTGGAGGAGTTGGAGTAGAAATTTGCCTAGAGGAAGGATTAGAAGGAATAACTTTTGGAGAAGATAGTGGAGGAGTTGGAGTAGAAAATTGTCTAGAGGAAGGATTAGAAGGAATAACTTTTGGAGAAGATAATGGAGGAGTAGAAAATTGCCTAGCAGAAGGATTTATTTCATAATTTTGAATATCATCATTAGAATAAGTTATACTAATTGATGGTGGTGTAATTGGGGGAGAAGATGGTTCTAAAAAAAAAAATAATAATAATAAACAGTTTTTCAATGAGTAAAAAGAAATTTAGATAGTGATTAAACGCAAACTATAAAAAGTTATATAGCACACCACTAATAATATCCACCGAAGACATAGAAGATGAACGAGATCTAGATTGAACATTTTGACCAATATCAGATGGACAAAGATAAGAGCCCTGCTGTGATTGTCTTTGAGAATTATCAGGCGATAAACCATCAGATTTCTTTCGAGCCTGATTATTATCCGATTTTGAGGGTAATTGAGTTTTTAAAGGACCATTGAACGAAACAGATTTTCCTCTAAAACGACCTATCACACCCTCACAAAATCCCTGTTTTGGGAGGAAATTAACAAAAATGATTAACAGAAATGTAAATAATAAGGGGTTTCAAAGTTAAAATAAAATCAGAGAATCTTATTTTTATTTTTCCGATTTATAATTCAACATAGTAAAAATGCTATTTAAAAAAATCCTATTTATTTTGAAATGCTTCACTTATTTGTTAAATTTGAAACCCCCAATATCAATATTCGACATTCAATTTGATATAAAAAAACATACAAGATAAATATCATCATCAATTTGTTTCAGGACAGTAATAACTTCGCCTAAAATGAAGAAGAATTAGTAAGAACTTTTTAGACTATTACATTACGTAAAAAAAAAAAATAATAAAATACTTTACCAGTATAAAACATTAAGTCGATTTGAGAATTAGCTAACGTATCCTCGATGGCAACGCATGTTCCAATCCCTCCTGTAATTATTTAAATGAATAGTTATGTTAATATAGTAAAAATAAATAATTATAAAGATCTGAAAGTGAATTAGAATACCTTTCGCGGCAAACTGATGTAGTTTTTCAAGTTTTGAAAATTTTTGTGATGACATTCCAACCTTGTCCAAGGTTGATTTGGAAGGTAGCAAAATCTTATTAGAATATATCTTATAATTTTTGAAATCGGAAAACCGGGGACTTTTTGTAAAATATGACGCGTAAGTGTTCGCGTTTTGTGGCGTAGAAAACGTGGAAAAAAAGAATAAAATTAAGAAATGAAAGTTAGTAATTATTGAAAGAAGAGAAACCAGTAAACTTTAGTAAAAAAATAAAAAAAAAGAAGTACATACAAAGAAAGGTTTGTTTAGAGAATAAATATTAATTAATTCTCAAAGACGGCCAACAGTTTTTTTTTTGCAAATAATAAATACAGAATTCTGAAAAAAAATAAGAATAAACGGTTAAGATAAAAAAATTTTATAAAATAAGGAATAATTTCAAGAATATCAAAAACAATGAGAGATATTTATAAATCATGAATTCCCAACGAGGGAGACGTAACTAATTTTAAAATTTAAATCATTTATAGGTATAAATGTTAATAAATTGGATTAGAGAGTGAGATGCATTTGAAAGAGTCTTTTCCCGGTTTTTTAAGATGATACGTAGAAATGCAAAAAATGCAGGATGATATTTGGAATGTTGGATGTAGTGTCACACCTGTACATTTAAAGTATCGTACAGTTTGAGGTATTATTACGTTACGATTGTATACACAAAAATAAAAATACATAAAATTAAAGAAATTAACACAACGCATTATTATAATATGATTCGAGAATAAAATTCTAAAATTGAATGGCAATGGGTATACGACATCTCTTAATGCATTCTATAAACCTATAAATCAATTGTAATTATATATGTTCATTGAACTTCTTTAAAGCATGTGACTACGAAATTGAATTATCATCGTTTAATAAATAATGACAGAGTGGTTAATAAAATCCAATTCAGGTTGTATTCAGGTTTGCTTAATTAAAAATCAATTCTGCATTACAAATTAAGTTGAGTTTAATCTAATTTCAAACTTTAATACAACTCATTAATCTTATTTCTTTTTAGCGAACATATTTCAATGATATATGTATGAATAATTATATATATACAGTATATATATACAGTGTATATATTGATAAATATAAACAGTATTTTCGAATATGGATTTTACCAATGTTCACCATTTTCAGCAGTAAAATTTTCTTGTACGTATACCATGTGTTTGTGCTCTGTTACGGCATGAAAACCTTGGAAATTAGCATTTTTAATTCATTTAACGTTAAATTTACACGAATTAAAAATCTATTCATGTGATAGTTACTCGAAAACTAAATCTAGAATTCTATAATTAATTATATATTTAAAAACTGTAAATCTCGTAAATCTTTACATGTGTTTAAATGAACTGTGTTTAAAGAATATAAAATTTTCATTATTTTCATTATTTTCGCTAACAATAAAATGATAAATGTTTGCTAAAAAAAAAACAACTACGCAATACGCGAAGATAGCATTGTTGTGCATTTACCACATGTACTTGCAAAAACAAGCATCAAACACATATCTGACGTTATATTATAGTGTATAGTGTATATACCGATAACTGATATGCAACACATATGTATGATAATGCATTCTCCACTATTTCAGTATTTCTATTTTTGTTTAGACTTCTAAAAAGGTTATCAAAAAAGTTAATCTAGAATTATGAAACGCAGTGAGGAGTCTCTTCTTAAATCGTTATGATAAATTTATGCTTTTTGATTATCGTTTCTTAACATCTTTAATTTGATTGATGTACAAAATATTCTTGTTTGCTCTTAGTATCTGTCGATCACTTTAAATTATAAAAGAAATTATGCGAGCAGGTGGTGAATTTAATATTATTTAGTCAATCAATGGATATTTAAATTTCAAGATTTTGATCGAAATATTTTTTTGTCTAACTTAATATTGACTAAATCTAAGGGTTTAGTTTAGACAAGTCTGCCATTCACGATGCCAACATGAACACCATGACAAAGGGTTTCAAGGACTCTGGATAATACAAATAAGAGTTGAATTTTGTCCTTTATCTATTTTAAGTTTTGTTTATATTTTTGATTTATAATTGTACGTATTTAATTATAAAAATTAAGTATAAAATTGTAGTGTTTTGTAGTCGATTTCGCATAGTCGATTTTTATCGACTTAGCCGATTTAGTCAGCCGATTTCCAAAAAATCGACTTAGTCGATTTTATGTTAGATTATATTAAAGTACCAATCAGATTCGGTATATTACCTCTCTTGGTACATAGTACTAAGAGTAGGAGCCGGAAAATTCCGATGAAAAATAGAACATGAGCAAGGTCGCGACAAAAATTGATGAAATCTCCGATAAATTCCGAAGGTAAAAAAAATATTAATCGGCTTTGACTTAGCCGGCTAAGCCGAATTTTAAATATCGACTTAGTCAAGTCGATAAATAGGGATCGACTACAAACATTATAAAAATTGTATTATACTGTATAAGTCTTAAAATAAACAAAATCAAGCGGGCAAATTGCCGAATCGCTACATCTTTAAATAACAGGGATGCTAAATGACCTGAAACGACCCAAATGGCTCAAATGACTAGTGACCGGTCACAGGTCATTCAAAGCCTATATTAGGATCATTCAGCCATTCGGCTGAAATTAAGGATTACTTTTTGAACTATCGCTATCATTACACTCACAACTCTGATAAAGTAGTTACAAGGCATTCGCGCCAAACTAGGAACAGAAGGTATGATCTCAGATTTACATGTAAATAATAATTATTTTAACTCAAATATGCCAAATTTTTAGTATTGGGTGATTTATTTTATTGAAATAATTAATTTTCAATATTTTATATGAGAAAACATAGTAAAAAGGTTCTATCTAATAAAATTTAATGAATGAAATTGTAATTCGACCAGATAAATTGAAGTTTACTTTCTGCTCAACTTAGAATAAAATACGATTGGATTTAAAGTTTAAGGTCTTAAAAACTTGTCCAAATCCAGCAATAATTGAAATCGATTGATTATGCATATTTTGACTTATTTACAGTTCTTAACTATAACGAAAGGTTTATTATATCAAGTGTTTACTACCCAATTGACTCAAATGAGCCAGGTCATTCCGGAAATGATCAAGCCATTTGGTCATTGGACATTTGCGAATGGCTCAAAATCTATATGACCAAAAAATGATCAGTTATTTCAAGGTCGTTTGAAGTCCTTTGAAAAATAAGCAAATGACCCCAGCCCTGTTAAATAGGGATGGATCGGTCATTCCGTCTTTCGGTCTTAAGATCGGTCTCATGACTTAGAATTTACAAATTCTCTTTGAAGCCAACCTTTTAAACATAGAATTGCCCTTGTAAATTCGTCTTCTAATCTATTTCTTGTTGAAATAGTGAGGCCTGCTATGGATACTAGCTTGTATGAATAATCTCTTGCGATTAAGCCTAGAATAGGGTATTCTTTTAAGGAAAAAAAAATTTTGTTATCTCTCATGATGGAAGGAGTTATGAAATTTTATTTTATTTTATTTCTTTATATTAAGAAAAAATCTATTTGCAACAGCCTGTTACGCGCTTATTTGTAACAGCCTATTAAGGTTAGGGTTAGAGTTGGGGTTATTATTATTAGTAAAATTTCACAAGGAACATTTTTAATTAGGCCGCAGAAGGTAGTTTCTTAATTAAAATTTCGAGTTATTT